GACAAAGCCAACCAAGTGAGTCTAGGGTCTCTTGTCATCGACAAAACCAACCAAGTGAGTCTAGGGTCACTCGGCGTCGACAAAACCAACCAAATGAGTCTAGGGTCACTCAGCGTCGACAAAACTAGCAAGTGAGTATAGGGTCTCTAGGCATTGACAAAACCAACCAACCAACAGCATCAGATTCAGCATAACTGGAAGATTCATAGATAATCAAAACTAATAAGTACCATATTACACGATAGTGCTTAATGCTAAATAGGTACATTACATAATCATTCATCTAATAGTAGTCATTACATAACCATAATTATAGTACTCATCATCCCATAACCATGCTGGTGGTACTAATAAGCAACATATTACATTATACCGCTCATTCATCTAAGATGGCCTTGATCCCATTCAGCTTCAGCTTGGTCTGCTCGGCAACCTTCTCAAGCTCATCAATGTGGGCCTGCACCTTAATCTTCTCTTCAGCAAGCTTCAACTTCATGTTCCTAATGACATTGGCTTGAGCAACTGTCAGGTTCTTGAGCATGTCATACTTCTCCTGCAGCTTGCTCTCATCAGGTTTGTTCTGCATCTTACCTCTCTCCAACCGAGCCCTCTGCTCCTAGCATCCAAAAGGTCGTTGACATCTTCAACCAACCTCTCATAACTTGCCTGCAGCTTGATCTTCTGTTGTGTAAGATTGTGAACAGCAAATGAGCTTTGCATATTGTCCTCAATCTTGCTCCTCCTGCACTCTTCATACTTATCCCACAACTTGGTCAATGCATTCTCCATTATAGCTGGCCAAAATGGATCAACCCATTCAACTAGCCGACAGTTTCTTCCCTCCTGTAATTTTAGTGTTAAACAGGTATAAAGTAACACAATGCTACAAAGTAACAAATGGTGTAAAGTGCTCACTAATCCACATGCTATAAAGTAACAAACAGTTATAAAGTAACAGAATGAGTTAAACAAACATGTATGAGCTAGCTATATGACACAATGAGTTAAACAATTACAGTGCTCACTAATCCACATGCTATAAAGTAAGAAGTCTCAATCAATGCTCCCAACCCTATGCACATAGGGGCATATAAACAATGACCTCCTAACCCACTACCATCACAGAAAATACATAACTAATTAGAAGCCTAACTAATAGGCCAGATCTGCTGACAACACTCTGCACATGCTCACATATAAACAATGACCTCACTGAGCAACTAGCACACCAGATCTGCTAACTATAAAATCAGTACTAAACAGTGACCAGATTAGCATAAATTTGGCACATACCTTCACAGCACAAGCAAAGAACCTCCTGCCAGTATGGATGCCCTGGAAAGCAACACGCCTCTCTACTGGTAGGGAGTGGTCATTGCACAAAACATCAGGTTCAGTGCCCTCGAAATCGGAGTCATCGATGGTCTCAGGGGTCTGGAGGTGCAAAGGAAAGGCAACAAAACTTCAGATCAAGCTCAACAAAAAAAATCCCCAAATCGCAACCCTAACCCTAGCTTGAGCTCGAGCAACTCACCTTGATGATGCCCTCGTCTGAAGCTGAGTCGGCGTACTGGTGAGAGTTCTCGCTGCTGTCGTCTTCAGACCAGGAAACCATGGCGACGCGGCGGCGACGGCGGTCGGAGATGTGGGAGGGGGCGGCGGCGGCAAACGAGCGGGAGCAGAGAGAGGGAGAAGGATGGGAGAGAGTGAGGGGGTGGGGCCTGCACCGCTTCGGGCTGTTTGACCCGCCCGACTCGAACCGGTGCGCCAGCGGCGTGTAACGCCGTCTAACGGCGTTGCCGTGTGAACAGTGTTGCCACGTCGACGGATGCGGGCCCTCCTTTTCATAAACGCACTTAAAACGGTCCAAACAAGCAACTAGTGTTTTTTGCAAAAAATTATGAAAAAATTAGTGCTTTTTGGCACAATTTCGTATATGTGTGGTACCTGCAAACCTAGCTTGAAGTGTCGATGTTTTTTGCAATTAATTCACTCCCACGACGGACAATGTCACGGCACGAACGCCGACGTGGTGCGTCTGGCTCCTCTGGGACCGCATCTTGCCCTCTATCGATGCTTTTGTTTTTTGTGTGTTATTTTTGTAGGGAGTTGAACCTTATACAATGGTGTGTACAGTATGGTGACAACCGTATGAAGATCTGCACAGGCCACTTGGTTGCTTTCATTCGATAACTTTCAACTTCGAGTGTCCAGTAATGTTTTCTAATTTGAATCTTGCTCAAATAAAAATTCTTTAGTAGTAAGTTTCTCACTTTAAATGAGAACCCTCTTTTAAATTACGCACCTAGAAGCTGCACACTTGTGTTTCATATTTTGTCTCCCATGCACTTCACTTATTATCTAGGAGGTTCGAAACTTCTAGACTTAGTTTTTCAACTTGAGCATGGTGCTTAGGTAGATAAACCAATCTTATTGAGATAGATGTTTTCACCTGTGTTGCTAATCCTTTGTGCTACAAAAAAAATGATAAAAGCACGGAAAATTTTTGTTTTCCTTTTAGTTCGTTTTCAGCAAGTTCTAGCTAGAGGGCAACCACCAGACCACAACAAGGAAATCATAGAAGCAAGGTCCAAAATCAACAAATGTTGGGGAATTTCAAAAAATGTTCATGATGACAATAAATGTTCTTGAATTTAAAAATTGTTGACAAATCTGTATAAATCTTCATGAATTCAGAAGCGTTCACGATTTAAAAAATGTTTTGGAATCTAAAAAAATATTCATGAACTGGAAAATTGTTCTGTGGTCCCAAAAAATGTTGATGAATTCATGAACTATTCACAGGTTTGAGAAATGTTATCAAATTTCAAAAGACGTTCACGAATTTAAAAATTATTTCCATATTTTAGGAAAGTTTCACAAATTTAAGAACTACTTATTTATTTTAGAAAAGTATACGAAATTATAAAAAATGAAAAATTAGAAAATAAAAAAGGAAAGAAAACAAAACAAAAAAAGCCGACAGACAAAACACAGAAAAAGGAAGAAAAAAGGGTTCAGGAAACCGATTTATTTTCTTTTGAGGGGGGAGTTCAGGAAATCGGTGGGAGGGAACATAGTAGAGAGAAAATGGGCCGGCCCACTACCACGGGCAAAGGGTGCGGATTTGTTCGCTATCCCCCCGACCCGCGCGCGGAATTGGAGACTCCAGACTGAACGCCATCAACCCTCAAAAAACAAACTGAACGCCATGACAGCACCGGCGCCCGCCCGCACCCGTGCCCCAACCACCGCCGCCCGTCCCCCAGCCCGACGCCGCCCAAGATCCTCCGGGCCCTTAGCTCCGACGCCACCGTCCGCCCCCAGCGACCCCTTCCGCAGCTCCGCCGTCCGTCCCTGTCTTCCCCTGCATACCAAGGTAATATATTCTCTGGAATGGGAAAACTCAGGGCACGGATTCGTTCCTCACGTCCTTCAGCTAGCCCTCCTTGATGCGGCGAGCTAGCCCGCCAGCAACGGTCATATGCAAAAGCTTGCATTTGGATACGAATTGTCTGGATACAACACTACACTATATACAGTCAGTTGGCACTTGGTAGAACAGAGATTAGTTTGAGTGGTGGATACACCAGTTGACTAAAACTAGATACAGCTAGTTGGCTGTTGCAAGAACTGAATAGTCTATTAGCCAGTTCTCCAGTACTTGCTGCCAAAAAAAAAAAAAGGACACTTGGTCAGATCTGGTGTTGAACTGACTCGAACTGTCTGAACTCCCATTGTTTTCTTAAATTGACTGCTAACCTTCGAATATTTGTTTTGTAAATTTTCAGTATGGTCTGGGCTGCTAAATGTGAAGTATGTTATCAAGCATGGATGAATGCTTAGATTTTCAATTGCTTGCAGTATCACGGGCCGAGTCGATGATGCGCGGTTTCAGGGCTTGCGATGTCAGCAGCTAGCCAAATAACGCACTTATCACAGATAGCTGGACCCCCTAGTGGCGTGCTCAAATTAAGAAACGGCCTTAACTCTTAAATAGGTCTTGGAGTGAGGATTTAATAATTCTTACAGGACATGATTGACCAGCCTACAGTGCGGAAAAGAAAAACTGACTCGGCCCTGCAGTAAAATTGGGGTACAGTCTTGCAGAAGTTAGTGTAAGTTTCCATTTGAACGTCATTTATTAGTTGTCCCTCCAATTGCAGTAGAGATTTGTTGTTTACAATGGCTAAATACGTAAACCTAGAGAATAACATTACTAGTATGACAGGGAGGATAATTCATGACCTTATCTGACCAGGGGTACACCCATCATAGTGGTTTGATCAGCAAAACCATACTAGTTTATCCCAGATGGGAACTAAAACAGTGTAATACCATCCGTCGAATAGACGACACAGAGGGCAGATTGCTTTGTGTATTCAAGAAACAGTAACCAAAAGAGCATCATATCTATTGATCTTGCACTGAAAACTGAAGCAAATAGTTTAGGGGGCTACACCACGGGGCAGAAGTTTAACACATAACTGCAATCGCAAAAGGATAATCACAAAAGTACAATACATAGCTGCATCCACAAAAGGATATCAAATGAGAGGGATCCAGAAAAGAAACCTTTATCTGTTTCATACAACACTATACATGGTTTTCATGCGTGTAACCAATCCTTTATGTGAAGAATTATACAACAGAGTATATCTGTAAACATAGATTATTACAAGAAACCGTATAACTAAATATGTATCATCTTCCTCCAGAAAGTCCTGTTATGGTCGCCGCCACAGATGGGCATGACAGGATATACTGCCCAAATTCTTCATCCCTGCTAGTAACAGGACGGTTCCGCTCAGCTTGTTCGGTAGTTGCCCAGCTTCCAGATCCGCGTAATCTGCGCTGGAGTTGTGCCGAACGGTTCCGCTCAGGGAAGCTAGCTACCTGGATCGAAGGAAAGTCTACGCACAAAAAACTGGAGCCGGGTTTCTGGCGATCCAGGAAAAGAGAAACTGGGAGTTGGCCTAAATTACGGACTAATGCCACCGCCAAGTGACTCGATGGCTGCGTACCGTTTCGCTATTTCTCTCTCCCCTGTCCCGGCACCTTGTATTCGCTACGTGGAGAGATCGCTACCATTCGCTCCGAACTGGGCCAAGCCCAGCCACTCTCCTTCTGTGTCCGACTGGGCCTAAGGCCACCTTAGCTGTTAAGCCGGCTGGGCTCCAACCCGTCCAGGCAGGTTGGCCTGCTTGCGCACACGAGAAGCTGGAGCGAGTGTGCCGAACAGTTTTTCATCGATCCCAATCCATAAAAGAAGCCAGCATCGAGAAATAGAAGCGGGATTTGCAGATCTAGTGAAGCTGGAGGACTACCGAACAGGCCCTAAAGCTCAAAAAACTTGATTGGAAATCCGGGAGTAGCACATCCTTTACAAGGTATTGCATCACTAGGCGCATGCATGGCCTAGCACTTTGTACCGGGTGTGAGCAGAGCAAGCCAAGCTTTAGCACTAACTCTGCTTCCTCCCTGACATAATCTTCTAATTTCGGGTCTACCGTTTTGAGGATTGAACCGCTCTCCCATGCATCGACCACCCAGTCTGTGAGCAGCACTGGGTCACCAGCAGAATCATTCACTTGTATTGGACGCCTCCCACAAGCAACCTCCAACATGAAGACACCAAATGCAAAGACATCAGTTGCCTTGGTTGCCCTTCCTAGCCTAGCCAGCTCGGGAGCAATGTACCCCCAGGTGCCAGCCAAATGTGTGGTGTGGGCGTCTGTACCATGGTTGTGTAATCTTGCCAGACCAAAATCACCCAGTCTACCATTCATTTCATTATCGAGGAGCACGTTGCTCGCTTTGATGTCTCGATGGATGACCACCTTCTCCCAATCCTCGTGGAGGTAGCAAAGACCAGACGCAATGCCTTTTATGATGTTGAATCTGTGAACCCAGTCTACAGTCTGCTTATCTCGACCATGCAAAACTCTATCAAGACTGCCATTTGGCATGTAATCGTAAACCAGAAGGAGCTCGCTCTTGTGGCGAGAATAACCGAGCAACTGCACAAGGTTGCGATGGCGGAGATGGCCTAGGATGGTTATCTCAGCTATGAATTCCTTCATCCCCTGCTTTGACTCTGGTGAAACCCGCTTGATGGCAACATTTTGCTTCGAGTTTTGTAGCAGCCCTCTGTACACCTTTCCAAATCCTCCTTTCCCAAGAAGCATCCTGTCACTGAAACCGTTGGTTGCAGCGGCAAGATCTTTATATGTGAAGGACGATGACCCATAATCGATTTCCCAACCACCACTTTCCCTTGCTTTCTTCATATAAACGTAAAGACCAACAATAATAACAGTTGCGATGAACACTGATATAATAACAACTGGTATAAGAACACCCTTAGGGATATGGGACCGACTTTGAGCATCGCGTCGAACATCTTGTATAACTTCAGACAAGACTGAGTAGTTAAGTGGTTTAGCCTCCCCATTTGGATTGAAACTCCAGCCGATAATGTGGTGTATGGACCTTGCGGGGCCGGTTGCAGAGGCAAAGCCAACATATGCTGAGCTTGGCAAAAGAGATGAAATATTGAGTGGGCTGGATAGCAGTGGGCGTTGAGGCTTGTGCTCTAAGTAAGGTGCTAAACTGACATTCACGTGGTGTGAATTGCCATCATAGTCCACCCATACTTGCATTGGTTTACCACTAATAAGTGTCAAGGGAGAGAAGGTGCCATCTGGGGTGTAGTATCCAGCAGTGTGGGAGTTGATAGACACCAAGGTGTTCACATCGATTCCAACATGGTTATCATTAATATCCCTGAATTCGGGATTTTGGACGGTATCAAGCTCGACAGCAAAGAGTCGATTTGCGACATTACGTACATTTTCACGGTTGAACATGCCCATGTACTGAGACGGGAGGGCATCCAACAAAGAGTCCGTCGTGGCGGAAATCGTAAAGGCAAGCCCATGGGTGCTGAGACCAGTGTACTCAGAAGTAATGACGAACACGAAGGTTGTTGAGAATGAGGAAATCGAGTCAAACCGGCCTCCGAAGAAAGCGCGTCCTACACTCCGGGCAACACCATCGGTTAGCATGAGAGCTCTGCTTGCGATTGAAGCTACGCCATCAAGCCGGAGCACGCCATTAGAGAAACCGTCGTAGGTGAAGCCGTCGTTGGTGTAGGAGGCGGAGGCTGGGATGAGGAAGAGGAGGCAGAGTAATAGGGAGTGAGGCAGCATGGTGGAGGCACCTTTCTCTCAGGGATGGCCGGATGGGTTATGAAATGTGAATAATCAGAGCAAGTGCCATAGAATTTAAGAGCAAATAGTCCCAGGGTCTATTTCACGTTTGGTCTTCGGTCAGCATGGTGGGTCCTACTGGAGAAAAGTGAGGCCATTTGATTGGTACACAACTAAACATCCGACACATCAAGAGGGGAACTGTACATTGTTGACCGGCTTTTCCACTAAAGCACGAGGGGGAAAGTATTACTGTCTGGAATAAATCAAGCAGCATTTTGTTTCTCTCAATGCACTAAATTCAAAGAATTTCACTTTGTTTCCGGAGATAGCTCGATATGTTTTGTTTTTGGCAGGAACACAAAAAAAAACTGCTTTTTCCTGAAGAAAAAGAAAGCCTTCAGCACATGATCAATCGGAGCAAAATAAACATGTTCTTCAAAACCCGTAAAAAGGATAGGTTTGGCATAGAACTCCAACTGAACACTATGCAGTCAAGACAACATCCAGTAGGATGTGATGTGCTCTTACCCTTGGGATCAGGGGGCTTCAAATAAGGTGGCTAGTCGAGTCTCCGGCTCTGGCTGGAGAAATGGAGAAGATATGTTTTTGCTCACCAGTCACCACCAGCCTAGCAGATGAACCACCAATTGCACATTTGTTTTCTTTTCTGCTCCTTAACTTCTTATATACATGGCACAAACGACTTGTTCGCTGTCAGTCCTGGTATACATCTCCGGCTGTGTTGCGTCTCTGGTGTCCCCTGCTCTTGATGTCCTGAGATGTGGCGCTTCCGTCGGCCGCCACCAACCACCATGTGGTACGCTGAGACGCCAGACTGCACCATTGGCCGTCGCCACCGCCCACCGTTGTGTCTAATTTGGTGACATCGCAAAGCACAGCGGGTCAAATTTGGTAGGCAACTCCTTATTTTATTTGAATTTTGTTATTCAGCGAGTCAAAAATTGTTGGAAGTTGGTTGTCTTTGTTTCTGACGTGAACTGGAGTCAGATTGACATTTTTCCCCCCTTCCATGACGCAGAGCCGGAACTGAACCTGGAACCTGAAGCCCTTCTTCGCACTTCAAATACGGAGCCTTTTAATCTTGTTCGAGCGAACTGAACTTGGTGTCGCGAAACTTTCTCAGTATACAGTTTGATTTCTTTTGCGCATTTTCTGGGATCTGGAGCCGTGTAACTCGAGCTATCTGATCCAAGAGAAGAGACACTCAAGCTGTTCCAAACTCTGTTAATCATTTCAAGCCTTCGTTGTGTGCATTGGAGAGGTAAAACTGTTGGGCCGAAAATTTGTTTGACAAGCCAACCTACTATTGCAGCCATTCAGGCCACAGATCGCATGCATATCAGGTTCTCTCTGTAAGCAATATAAGACGTCTTTTGCAGTTCAGTTTGATACGGAGAGAGTATTGTTCATCCGTCGGGTTGCTTTGCCCAGGTGCGATACAGAAAGTAGAGATCAGAACTGAACTTGGTCCTCGGAAAGCTCTGAATCCTGAGTGCCATGGAAGAAAAACGGAATGGGTTTGCAGCAAACTGATTGACAAGCCTCCCCCGTCCTCTGAAAAAACAGCGAGCCTTCGTTCAAAAACAGAGGAAAGTTCAGGAGAATATCATGAAAGTGGCATCTGTAGTTCTAGACAGCTTGAGAAAACAGAAGGGTGGGAAAAGACACCTACAATGGGCCGAATTACCAACGCAATTTAAAATGTTGTGAGATACTACTATATTGTGAGTAGTATATTTAAGATGATATGCCGGCTCAGTCTTCGGAGATGCTCATAGGGGTAGGGTGTGCGTGTGCGCGTTCATAGAGGTGAGTGTATGCGCATATGTATGAGCACTTTGCGTCTGTATTGATGTTCAAAAAACAATTTAAAATACATCTACGACAAGTAATTTCAGACGGAGTGAGTGCAAGCAGTAGGACCGGAATTGTTGAGCTGGGCGCCCTAATACACTGCTCAAATTAAGAAACGGTCTTAAAAGAGGTGAGACCACCGGATGCAGATGTACTGTTGCTGGACCCGTCTATCCTAATGTGGGCATCCTTGACCCTGCCATTTTAGTAGTAGAACGGTTCGTGAAGATAGACACTGGTGGTACTATGTGGTGAGCATTAATATAGTCAGGCCTCGCAGTCATGAATTAAGAATTGTTGCAAGTGTAAGACACGATTGGCCAGTCTACAGTGCAGCTGCGCAGAATAGAGAAAACCGACTGGGTCTACAGTACAGATTACTAGTCTTACAAAAGCTGCAGGTTTCTGTCTGCGTCCTCGATGGATGAATGTCGTTTGTTTATTGTGCCCTCCAAGGCTCCAATTGCGTCAAGGCCTTGTTTACGTCGACTAAACATTCAAACCTACAGAAACTACAGATCTGTACCCATCCTGGTGGTTTCATCAGGGTTATTCATCTCACATGGGAACTAGAACACCATCAAACAGATGCAGAGAGCATAACGGGTTGCAGAAAAATAATGACCAAAAGGGCACCATATATCTATTGCTCTTGCATTGAAAATTAAAGCAAATTTTTAGTTTAGGGAACTACACCCCGAAGCTCTCAACGGAAACAGGATAAACGCGTTATCATATCCTCAACTCAAATCTTCATCCTTCCCAGGACGCAACTCGTTGTATCAGTCAAAAATTTGCACGGTATTATTTTCCAGACAAGCACAAGGCACTTGGCAGCGAAGGAGATCAGCGCATGGGGCTTATATGTCAAGGAGCAGCCTCCGGGGGTCCTCGACGACGTCCTTGATGCGGCGCAGGAAGTAGACGGCTTCTCTGCCGTCGATCAGCCTGTGGTCGTATGTCAGCGCGAGGTACATCATGGGCCTGGCGAGGATGCTGCCGTCCACAACCACAGGGCGCTGCACGATGGAGTGCATCCCAAGAATCGCTGACTGCAATAGACATGGCATCGTGATTCAGATAAGTATCAATCAGATATGCAATGCTGTTTCAAGAGATTCAGCTGAGCACCAGAAAAGAAAAGCAGTCAGTACCTGCGGGGGGTTGATGATAGGCGTGCTAATAAGACTTCCATAGACACCGCCGTTGGAGATGGTGAATGTTCCTCCCGCCATCTCGTCAATTGACAGCGCCCCCTCAGTAGCCTTCTTTGCAAGGTTGTTTATCCCTTTCTCGATGTCAGCAAAGTTCATTGAATCAGCATCTCGGATAACCGGCACCACAAGACCCTGAAATATGATATTTGCATTGCCAGTGAGATAATAGCCCTAAAACCAAGGAATGCAGCATGCTGGCAACTATACGTTATTCTAGTACCTTGGAAGTGCCAACAGCAACACTAACGTCGACATAGTCTCTGTATATGATGTCATCGCCGTCAATGACAGCATTCACGATTGGCTGGTTCTGCAGTCCAGAAACAGCAGCCTGCGAAAAAGCCAAACGGAATCAGCATAATTGAATAAAATCAGCAATAGTTAGGCGATGCATGACATTGGACATTGCCTTGACAAAGCAAGACATCAGACCCAGTTTGACACCATGCTTCTTGACAAATTCATCCTTGTAGTCAGACCGCAGCTTCATCAAATTGGTCCTGCATCATAATATCAATATTAAACAAGTGATAAACAATATCTACACATGCGAGTTATTGTAATAACAGTTGATGGTGGAAAAATATGATTGATTAATTTCTTATGTACGAAAAGATGAGCATATGCTGAATCACATATTGATACCCATTATTAACTACAAGAAAATAGTATTATTGTTTTGATCAGGAATACAAGCAGACATTTCTGTGACCACTCTTATATAAATCATTATATTGCTAGTGGATGGCAACCGGTAATATAGTGACATGCACCCTAAAATGGTGTAGTTAAATTCCTCACGATATGCTAGATGGGGACCAGATGTCACCATCTCACCATGTTCAACAATTGTACAGTGAAGCATTCATACCACAAGAGTAACAACATAAGATAAGATAAAAGTGAAATCTAACACGATAGCACACCACATGAACAAATGTTATAGTAAGAAAAGAGATTACCAACATGCTTACATATCAACTTCACTAATTTGGTCAGCACCACATGAACTAATGTTAAATAAGGAAAGAAAAAAGATCAAGACACTTACATGTCAACTTCATTGAATGTGGTCAGCATTGCAAATGTGTTCTGGGAATCCTTCAAACGGTTGGCAATGCGTTTCCTAAGCCTGGGCATTGGCACCTGCAGTTACCATTGTAAAAGATTACAGACAAATCCCTTTAAAACTGATTCCATGCAACTTTACAACTTTAAGTCACTGCAGATTAGCCTTACCCGTCGCTCTCGCTCTTTTGGAGGGAGCTGTGGTTCTGTAGGGGAGGTTTTTGAAGGAGTTGGCTTTGGTGCCTGCTTCTTGGGAGGTTCTACTTTTGTTGGTTTCTCTTCTGCTTTTGGTGATTTCTCTTCAGATTTTACTGGAGGTGATTCTTTTTGGGGCGCCTCCTCAGATGGGGCAACATGTGTTTCAGCAGGTGCTGCAGACTTTGATACGATAGCAACTATGGTGCCTGGAGTAACAGTATCACCTTCACTAGCAATAAACTGCAGAGCAATGGCATTAAGAAAATTAGCAATTTTGCTACAGCTCAGGTAGAGGCAGACCATGATAAGAAGCACAAGTGGAAGCTAAAAAGAGAGAAATTATCCACCTTTTCAATAACACCAGCTTCAGGACTAGAAACATCTATGGTGACCTGGAATACAAAGGAAAAAATATGTTTTATATTAAAAAGCATAGGCACTCGATTTGACACATATTTAGAGTACAATTCAAAATGATTGAGAGGCACTAAACCTTATCAGTTTCAATCTGGGCTATGGCCTCATCAGCCTCAACTCTATCGCCAGGTTCTGTATTGAAGAAGGGTTAATAGAAGGGCCTTCACTCTCACAGAAAGAGAGAGAGAGAGAGAGAGAGAGAGAGAGGGGTGGGAGAGAGAGCATACTCTTTAAGAAGTTAGCAAGAGTTCCATCAGTTACAGATTCACCCATGAAAGGTACAACAGCTTCAAACTTGTCTCCTACAGAAGGAACAACATGAATCAATTAGCACATTTTCAGGAGCAATTTAACAGTGAGCAATTTAACAGTGAGCAACCCAAAAAAGAAAACAACTGCCATTACCATTGTCTGATGCGAATGACCTACTCCAGAGTTGGTAAGGAGAGGCATTTGGAAAGTAATTGTTCCTTCTAGAAATTTAAAAGAAACGGCCATTAGTAACTAGCTCATTGTATGAACAGGACAAAATATCTAACATCTACGATGATGATAATAAACAACGAAGTTATCAAAAACGCCTCTACAGAATACAACCAAGTACAAAAGTTTACCACCTACCTTGTCAGCTTTGAGCTTTGGGGACCAACTGGAATAAGACCTGCAGAGAGCACAAAGGTATTAGAGTCATCCATAGTGAACCAATGATCAAAATCCAGCAATTGTTCAGCTAATAACCTGAAAGTTGACTGCTGTAGTTTCTGACATGTGTATAGCTCCTCAGGAGGCCTAATGTCTGCAAATAAATAGAAACAATGAGCACGAAAAGATAACATAAGAAAATAATCCATGTACTCGTGTACTCTGCGAAGACATGTTGCATGATGTATAACATCTTGTATCTCCTGTATTGCTAGTTGCTACAAATGATCAAATTAAGATAAAGTAAAGTAGTAAACCAATGAGACCAACAGCGGCAAGCAGGATTACCACCAATATGAACATTACAACTTAGAGCCTAGATCTTGTCAAATGCACACCAAAATGCCCTAGTTATTAGCACAGCATGAAATAGGGCAGGGACAAATCAAACTTTATGACAACAGATTGTATTTAACAAGTAGTGTAGGGTATGAACAAATGCAACATAAGCATAAATCATATACTATGTAACTAGCAGCCAATCAGACATATCCAGTGCTTGTTAATTACATGCTCTGATGAAACACAAATGAATTCCTATCTGTTGGCAAGAACTAGACAAAGCAAACAATCCTACCCTAGATATTCAAGCATGTGCAGCCTATTCTAGATTCTCCGTTCCACACAAGCACAGAAATAGGGGGAAACAGCAAGGTGCTTGCATACTCTGCGAAGATATGTTGTATGAAGTATAGCATCTTACATATGATGTATTGCTACAATTGATCATATATTAAGATAAAGTAAAGTAGTAAACCAATGAGACCAATAGTGGCAATCAGGAATGGTGCCAATATGGACATTGCAAGTTAGAGCCTAGGTCTTGTCAGATGCACACCAAAATGCCCTAGTTATTAGCACAACATGAAATGGGATAGTGACAAGTCACGGTTGATGACAGCAGAGCGGATTGCACTTGACAGGCAGGGTAGGGTGTGAAAATTGCAACATAAGTATGAACGATATACTATCTAACCAGCAGCCAATCCAACACATAAAATGGGACAAGGACAGGTCACATACATTTTATCACAACAGATTGCACTTAACAGGTAGGTTACACCACGCAAAACGCAACATAATAACCATGAACAATATTATATAACCATCAGCCAATCCAGACATGTCCAGTGACTGTCAATTGCACGCGCCCTGGCAAAACAAAAACGAATTCCTATCTGCTGCCACGAACTGGGCAAAGAGAAGGACCCTACCGCAGATATTCAGGCATGTCTGCGCAGCCGGTTCTGGGTTGACCGTTACACGCAAGCACGGAAACGGGGGGAAACAGCAAGAGCACGACCTGGAACCCTAATCTGCGCAGAGACGCCGAATCACGCCGAGCGAAGCGCGTCCCACAGACCTCGCTGAGCGCCCGTCGTCCCAGCCTTACAGGATGCAGGAATTAATCCCCTCCCCAACCCAATCAGGAATCAGAGATCCCCAATCACGCGAGGAAACAGGCCTGCGAGAACACACCAAACGAATCGGGCCGGTCGCATCAAGGCACGGAACCACCCACGCGAACCCTAAATCCTCTCACCCCCTCGGAATCGCAAAATCGCACGGGCCGCCGCGGCGAATCGATCGTAGCCTATTAGTGCGGGCGCGCAAGGACGAGCGAGAGGATGGGGACTTACGGGGCTGGAGCGTCGGAGGAGGCGGGAGGCGATGCGGGACGCCATTTCGCCGGCGGCGGCGGCGGCGGCGTCGGGAGGGCTGTCGTGCGGGAGAAGAAAGGCTGGCTGGCTGGCTGGCCGGGAGAGAATGAGGGATTTGGTCCTCCTCCTCCTCCTCGATTCGTTCGGCCTCTCTGTCTGAGTCTGACTTGCGGACCGGGCGCAGGCGCAGGAAGGAAGGGTGGAAGGTGCAATAATGCGATCTGGAAAATGAGAAAGGGAAATGGGAGACGCTTCTGCCGGCCCCACCCGTCGGTGGCCGCGGGGGGTGCTCCTTCCGGTCTGACCCACGAATGGACATGTCGGTGCTTCCAAAATTCCCATCCTCGGTTCGGCCCACATTTGTTTCCCCTTTTTCGTGTCACTACTTTTTTTTTCTCGCGAACATGCAAATCAGTAACATTCCATTTATTTTCCAAATTTTTTACAGTATATAGTGAGGGTAGAGGTCTTTTAGAAGTCATAATATCTAGTAATTATTATTTCTTTGCTTGCAATTTTCTTATCGGTAGCTTACCAAGCCGGCCGCTTGGGTTGCGGTCATTATTTTTTTGCCACCCTCGATAAATAACCAAAGAAATTACATGGATTTCAATTATTTTTATCGCCCGAGTGCAAAATAAAGTATTGTCAAAATTATTGCTATTAGAGTTTCATTAGCCATATTGCTATTCTTTATTTTACAACAACGTTAAATTAAGCTTTAAAGGTATACTTGATGTTAATAATTTGATTTTCCCTAAAATTCTGGTCAGCTTATAAGTACTTTGATTGATCGCTTTACAATTAATTGATCCTTGAATATGCCATACACATGGTTTCAATCAATCCTAAAAACCTATTTTCGAGATTGTATGATTCAGTTTGCTTTATAGTTGATTGAACTATACAATGGCGTGGCTACGTTCAATAATATTTTCTTAGAATACACATAAGCATGTGTATCATATATTGATAGAAGAAGGGGGTATAGAAGCCCACCTACCAAGTTACAAGCAAGGTACAATAGCCCACCTACAATGTGAATTACTAGCTACGCACCCGCCTATACAATTATGCTAAGAAAGCTTGCATGCCCCACTTGAACAACCTAGCCGTTTGCCAAACTTTGTCCAATCGTCATAGCCCCAAGCCGCCATTACATCACTTATACATTTCATAATTGGTTACACATATTCTTAAGATCTAGTACTAGACATTGAAGTCTCTTTTTTTTTCATCAAGTTTGGATGCATTTAGTTATGTAAGTTCACATATAAGAACTTTGTACTCCCTCCATTCCAAAATATAGTGCACCCGCGCTTCCCTAGGTCGAACTTTGACCATAAATTTAACAAACGAGACCAACTGTGACGGGAGAAAAAGTTACATAATTAAAAACTTCTATCGAATACGAATTCACTGATATAACTTTTGCTCCCGCCGCAATCGGTCTTGCTAGTTAAATTTACAGTCAAAGTTGAAGCACGGGGATAGAGGAAGCACTACATTGTAGAATGGAAGAAGTATTATAAAAGTAACAGACAACTAATTAAGATGTTTCTCGCGCATTTGCGCATGTCACTATGCTAGTTATTATTAAATAAAATGTACTTTTGATTTTAATGTGTGTACCAAAGTATATATGGTTCCGAAGGTGGCAAGTACACTATGGGATGGGGGCGGATGCCCCCCCCCCCTGTTTTGACCTTCACATAGGTTTGCTAGTGGTACACTTGTTTTTACTCCGTTAACACTGCACTAACATCGATCACGATAACCCGTATTCAACGTGCACCATATGCATATACGAATTCCACATTGTGTTTCATGCGGGCACTTCTTCCATGAGCAGTGCATGACAATTACTCGGGTAGTCATGTCATGACCATTGGATGATTGATTGTTGTCACATGTTGTGAGGGCATATCCAATAGCTTTGGATGTATCATTTGACCATATCATCAATAGACAGTATTATGAACACTATTGACCTGTTTGGATGATGTCCACGTCAAATTTTGTCTGGCTTGGAGCCTGCCTGAAAGTTGCCCAAAGAGTGTTTGGTTACTGTCCTGGGAAAGTAGCAGCTAGCCTTCCCTGGTGGCCTCACAATTTTCTTAGCATGGAGTGCGACCTAGGCATATTGCTTAGCCTGGGCGAGGCGTTTAGAAAAGGACGCCTGGCTAGCTGCCTAGTGGTAATGAGCCGATGTTTCCAAGTCTTTTTGCAGTTACAAGGCTTCAATGATGATACTATATTATTTTTAATGCTACCCCAGGCCAGGACAACAACAAAACACATGTACGCCATGTCAGCCTCACCAGGCACAAAACAAAGAAGTACCAGGCTCAAACCATGCAGCCTCTTTTCCGAAGCCCAGGCCACTAACCAAACAGACCCTTTGTATGATGAACTGTCCTTTCATATATCTATGCTAGTACATATGCCTGTGTGTTGCAATGCTTTTTTTACAAAACCTACTATGTGTGCTACTATGCGCCCGCTACTTCTTATATCCAACCCTTATGTACGTCACTTGTATGGTCACCATGCAATAATTCAACAAACAAACCACCTTGCGACAATGCAAGAAGCATCTAGGAAGGATGTGGAAAGAGCATTTGGAGTGCTCCAAACTTGTTAGGGAATTGTTCATGAAAATGCAATGATGTGGGAATCAGAAATTTTGTGGCATCTGATGATATGTTGTATCATTTTGCACAAATATGATTGTCAAGGACGAGGGCGGCAGGCAGCCCGAACCCATGATTTTGAGAACCTTGGGGAACAAGTCCACACCCCAAAACAACAAGATGTCGATCAGCTTATCTTTCTTTTGCAGATGAATCAGAATCTTTGAAATTATCAGGTACACACGCAACTACTCGGTGTCTTGTGGAGCATATGTGAGACCCACAATGGATGCCAAATAGCTAATGTTTGAATTGTGCACTTACAATAAGTTTTATGTTTGAACTATGCATTTTCGCTATCAACAAATGATATTTACGTGTGATATTCACGTGTATAATGGACGTGCATGGATTTACGGGTCTAGATTTAAGTAGTGTGGTTGGCTGACATATCATATGAGTCGTCTGGCGCTACCCGAGGTCACGCCCAAGGGTGGCAGCGTGCGTTCATGAACGTTTAAGACGATGCCGGATTTGTAAAGTCCGGGTGGTAGATGCTCTTACTTGATTGTCAGCATTGAAGCATGGGTGCTGCTCCAATGAGCTCATGTTCCTCGATCACACCATGGCATTTTCTTTCCAGCACGCGATGGTTACTCTGGTGCGTGCAGGATTCTGGGC